GATTCTGCATTTAAACGCATCAGATGCTCCCCCCCTTGAATGTAATTTTCCTATCTCCATACTTGACGTAGCCGCTACATCCGAGGAAAGGTCTCCTCATTCAGTGGAGTTACCGAATAAGGAGACTATATTTCAATAAATAAAGCATTAATATTTTCTACCTTAGTAAACGATTTGCATAACAGGCTTGACTTTCGCCCCAATACTAAGCGTAGAAACATTGTTCATGACATTACACGCAGCAACTGTGCTCGCATTTATAATGGCAATACCTGTCGAACGTTAAGAATCAGACGAACACAACGCATGAGAACAATTAGGTACCATAATGCTGATCATTCTAGTTTCGTTGCTGATGCCCTGGAAAACGGTCATGACGTAAACAACGACAAAATCAAGTCACTTGCCATCGCAACCGAAAGAAACAGGATCTACAGCAACTGCGTTGGCTGTTGTCATTTTCGCCGTATGGAGTGATTAATTGCATATCTAGCGACTGCATAAGTATCTGATCAGTCATCGGGTCAAGTAACAACTGTCTCAAGCGGTTATCTTCCATTTTGTTCATTCCCTCGATGATGGCCGATGCCAATTTGGTAGAAACGTTGGAAATTTGTAGGCAAAGTTTTTGCCTGATTTTCTTGTTAACAATCACAGAATACCTGAACCTTAATCTAGTAAGTTCGAAAAACCAAATCAGGTAAAAAATAGGAATCCTACATTGTGTTATACCAATAATTTCTTATGCTAATGCGGCAGCGGGGAGTATCGACTACTGAAACCGGTTCCCTTGCGTTTACCGAATGAAATGATGCCTCCAACTACTTTCGGGTAATTTCCACATGGCATGGTCAGTGTATTTCACCCACCACACTGATCAAAATTCCTTTTTCTTTCAAACTCATGCTCTTAGTACCCAAAAATCGTTCATCTTGAACAAGGGCAGTTTTATGAATGTGGTGCGATAAAAGCCGTTCGGATGTTCCAGGACTTCTTCCATATGTACATCTTTAACATTTTTCGGTCTAAGGAGAAAGATGGTTCGATCGATGTAAATGCAGATATACCGACGTTCAGCTTTGAGAACCTTCAGCCGAGGTGACAAACTTGAAATTGACTTCAGCAATATAAAAACCTCGCTGTTTCGTCGAAAGGCTACCACTACTCAGCGACAGATGTTGATTGGCTGCTGTTATATTTATCGCTTCTTATACTCGGGCAGATGGTCGATGCTTTGCAGCTGAAGGCCCTTTCAAACTAAGCACTTCAGGCGAGCAAACAAACATAATGATGCGCCGCCTTCTGCCCCTGTTACTGCTCAATACCGGCTCTTATTCGTTTTTGTTTTTCTACCCGTATCTCTGTCTATTTTCTCTGCTTCCATGTCTGTCACTGTCCATCTTACCGGGTGTCTGCCAGTCTGACTCTCCATCTTCATTTCTCTCTTTTTCTGTATCTCTTCCTCGCTTTCCCACTTTCACAGTCGCACACTTTTTCTGTCTGCCTCTCGATCACTGTTTCCCTCTTCCCTTCTGTTTTATTTTCTTTATCTTTCTAAAGTCTATAAGTTATGATGTACAGGACTTACAATGTAACTTTCCATGTGAAGGCGAATAAAAAATTAGTGTGGTTCTCAAGGAATGAAGCAAATCGCTTAAGTTTGTCCTTCTCCAGACAATTATAAAATATTTTTCTAGAATTAGCAACTAGCCATAGAGAGGCTGAACAGTTGAAGATGTGAAATCAGATATGAGGCTATTATATGAATGATTTTACTCAAAGGGACAGAAACGCACGAATTACTGGCGCAAAGCAGGCCAAACCGCTGCTGGTTAAACCAACAGTGCATCGAGGAAGGCATGTGACTGCTACGAAAAGCCTAGTGCTTTCTTGTTTTCCTGCTTGTTGCTCTTTTCAGATAAATGGAGAAACAGTGCAGCAGGTGAATGAGATCGACAGAGGCGAATGGGATGACCAGAGGCTTTTTAACTTACCTGAAGGTATCTTACTGTGAACAGATTTCAACGGATCTGAGTCAAAAACGGAAACTGACTGTGTTATAATCTGTTTTCACCTCCATAGTCTGCTACGGTCATAATTCGTAGGACGTCACTGAGAAACTAAAATCCCGGGTATAAGCGACTGAAACAGGTATTCTCACATAAACCACTGCAACTCGTCTCTACAAGTTTTGATGCACAGCTGTTGCTTCTCCAGATTGAGAAGTTCACTCTGCAATGTTTTTTAACACAATTTGTGAACGCTTCCGGAAAAAAAGGCGAAACAGCTATGACCTGTTAAAACCATCGGTTGAAGAACCCCAGAAATGACCTGCACAAGGTGCCTCAACACATCTTGCTCTAGAATCTTATGCCGAAACTCAGACACTGCCACATGATCGGAGAAATTCAGACAGTGTCGCCCGCTGTTGTCGTACGACCATAAAAAATAGGCGGTCATGGAAACTGATTAACTGACTGACATAATCCACGATAAAAATATTTAATATCTGATTACATTGCACTCAAATGTATTGCGTCGTGCAACGTGTCACGGAAGCACATTATCAGTCATGCATTACAATCGCGATTTAACTGAATCGTTGCCAATCATTGGCTTTGGTTAAGAGAAAATTGTTTAGCCTCGATTTGCTAGACACGACGCATAGAAAGTCACTGCGTTCAACTGGAAAGTGATAAAGAGCTATGTTACTCAGACATTATGGAAGTCGAGACAAGGGTGTGATAATGAAGCGTAAGAAAGAGTAATGATCGTCGGTGACGAACTATAAATCTCAAGGTGTCAACCTCCGGCAATTTTCGCTGGCCATTTGTCAAATGGGCGCGTCGAAACACGACGGCCAACGTAACATAAAAAATTCTTTTTCTACTTTGTCCATAGTTCGATATAGGTAAGTTTTTGTGACCTACTTACCTAAAAACGAAATCTCCCCTAGCATTTTGACCTTTCGCGCTAAGTCGTCTTTTGCAACAGTAAAAAGCGCTTTTCATGTTTGAAACGAAGCAGGGCGTACCTCACTGGTATAACGCTAAAAACAGTTTCTAAGCTCGAAAACTCTACGACTATGATTAGACGGCAGAATACTTCTGCTTTCATGCATAAATGAAAGAATTGCGCATTATGTAAATAAGAGCAAAATTATGCTAGAAGCATCTGTAGCCTGACTCATAAACGACCGTCACACAGGAAACAGAAAATAAACAATTTTTAGTGTTAAAGCGAATATCGGCATTCTGGAATCATTATCTTAAACGGACAACTGCTACGCTAAATAGGACGCAAACGCTAAATAGGACATCACAGATTTATGACACGGGAATGACAGCAAGTAGTGCATTCGACAGGAATCTTGATCATTTACGACTTATTCCGTTTAAAAACATGCTGATCTAATGGTGTCAGTCAGCGACTGTGACGTTCTGCGGCATTATTTTCAAATAACATCCCTGATGGTTAAATTGCCGTTAACCTCGGTTACCATAGCCGTACCGCTTGCGTACGGTTCTGACATTTTTCAAAACATTCCATTCCATAAAAGGAATGAAGTTCTCATCAGTTAACCAAGTAAATGAAGCGATACATGCACCTTCAACGGTTCGTAACATCATCTGTGAACGTGGACTTTTGTTTGTTTACTTTATTAAAAAAAATTTAAGCGACAAGATCCATTGCCGCTAGAACTACCTTGCATTTCTGCTGCATGATTCTGCAAGCTTCGATGACCAACTCTGCCGATGTAAGAGCGCCGGTACTTTCAACGGTAACTAAACGAATGATGATGACGTAAATATCGAAAACTTTAAAGGAGAAACAAGCGATGCAAGCACAGAAAGAATAAGTCAGCAAACAAGGCAGAATACAGTAGTCTGACACTAAACTACGGTCAAAGGCAACCGTCTTCATCCATTCTTATGAGACAGAGAAAATCTGACGATGCATGGGTTAAACTAACATGAAACCACTGAATGGACTACGAGTCGCTCTGAGCTCCAATGACAACTAGTAGCAGTCACCTAATAAAACAGCGGCTTCAAACATACCATGAAATTAGAAACTCGTTACTTTTCAACCCAGAATTAATCAGCCTATCTGTCATAACTCTCTTCTCTGCCATATAGCGCATTTGAAATCATTATCAGTTTAGGTAAAAAATTTTTGCCATGGCCACTGTAGTACAAACTGAATTAGAATCAGAAAATAAACCATAACAAAAAACAAAAAAATGTAATGTCAAACAACGCGACTTGCAAAATGTGCAAAAACGTTAACCTGATAAACAAGGCTAGATTTCTTAAAGATAATTAAGAAATTCAATGCATATTATAAAAATGGACTAAAGGAGGGTAAGCTTTAGGAAATAGCTGAAAACGTTTCTTTTGAAGGTAAGCGTACGTGTAGGAGAGATGCTGGGATTGAAAGGAATCAATAAAGTCCCTGCACTTTCAGGTTTTCGTGTTGAAAAATATATTAATAATAAAAAGAAAACCAGACATGTCTATGATGATTAAATTTAAAAAAGTGGTTGCAAATGCCGAAAAAAGATCCACAGAAATTCTTACATATGAAATGACGCTTCTTCTTTGTCAGTAATACCTCACTGGCAAGTTTCGGGTACCGAAAGACGTTTCGGCTGCACATATCTGCTCTGGGATTTTTGACTTCCACCTCAGCATAGTCTGAAACAGTCAGTGAAATAATCAAAATAAGCAGACGATGGAAAAAACGAACGCCATTGAAAACTCACCTCCGTGGTTGTGAACCTGAAGTACCCCCTTCGAAAAACATGACTGCAACAGAAGCGCGTCGTCGACGGAGAAATGATTTCGTTTCAAGGTAATTTCCGGCATCAACCGATACGAAGCCACCGCTGTAACAACATAATTTGTTTCCAAAAAACGTAATTCACATATAGCCGCAGACCTACGGGCGAAAATTTCGCATGATCGCGGCCGATGCCCTTCACACAGTGACATCGGCATTCGATTTCCTGATGGGGACGAAGTTGCGCAAGCAAGATATCCGCGCTGACGGCGCGCGGGCGATCGTCTTCGCTAAACCACTGCTTCTGATCACCTAACGGAATCCACTGAAGGTCCTTGCTGTACACTTAAACATTATCGTTGAATAGCACACAGTAATGCGGTTCAAAAACACTAACAAACGCACCTTTGCTGTTTTCGTAAAGCGTTTCAAGCTCAACACAGTTTTTCGGAGCATCGCGATTATTGGCGCAACGAATTTTGAGCGCAAACTCTAGGGTGTTCCTTGGATCAGCGGCCATTTCGTCTGAAAATATAACGATATATGTAGCGCTGCCAAAGCACCGGCAAAAAGTGACTCCACCTCTCGGCGATTCACTATTTAACATATCCAAATGCTACGTACCATTAATACAATATCTTGTCATATATATCACGAGCTATCAGGAAAACGACCTACTAATATACTCTTGGAGATCCTGAAGTGAAATTACTTAAAAATTCCGCCATCAAAGAAGCAACACAAGTGGAGAAGTTAACAACAAAATTAAATCGAACTTTCGAACAGGACCACCCATGGATGATGAACCGACATTTTCAGCACTCATTTGTTTATGCGAGAAGTACATACGAGAACAGTCACTGTAATGTGTGATCTTTTGACTGCGATTTGAAACTCAGCTATTACTAGACAGGGTCTATCACTGACTACATGAAATTGGAAAG